TATAAAAAATCTGGTTTTATTTACTATTTCAGCCACAATGGATGCTAGAACCTGTATTTTTATAAAAAATCAGGTTTTATTTACTGTTTCAGCCACAGTGGATGCTACTAGAACTTGTATTTTCATAAAAAATCTGGTTTTATTGACTATTTCAGCCACAGCGGATGCTACTAGAACCTGTATTTTTATAAAAAATCAGGTTTTATTTACTATTTCAGTCACAATGGATGCTACTAGAACCTGTATTTTTATAAAAAATCTGTTTTTATTGACTATTTCAGCCACAATGGATGCTACTAGAACCTGTATTTTCATAAAAAATCTGGTTTTATTTATTATTTCAGCCACAGTGGATGCTACTAGAACCTGTATGTTTATAAAAAATCTGTTTTTATTGACTATTTCAGCCAAAGTGGATGCTACAAGAACCTGTATTTACAAAAAAATCTTGTTTTAAAGTCCAATTCCGGCCGTTTTCTTGGTTGTAAATTCAGACCTACGTGGGCCTAGAGGTCTGTTCTTTTAAACCCTGAGAAACTCTGAGTCTTAACGGTGTTTTCCGGTTTCTGACCAACCTGTTTGCTCCTTTCTTCCGCGGCTTTCTTGTCGGCCTCGGCCTGCTCGGCCTGGTCCAGCGCGTTCTCCTTGTCCAGTTTCAGCATCAGCATCTTCTTCTTGACGGCCTCCATGTTGGCGGTTTGCGGTTTGAGGTCTGGTTCTGGTTCTGGTTCTGAGGGAAGAGCTGAGAGTTGAGCAGAGAGCTGCTGGAGAAACCAAACCCTCAGAGATTAAACACAGTCCATTTATACGACACACAAAGAGACACTCCCTCTGAGACTCCCCCCCGATGGAGGGCTGTCAGCAAAAGGGAACTAAACCAACACATACAGTGGGGGAAATAAGTATTTGACCCCTTACTGATTTTGCAGGTTTGCCCACTTACAAAGAATGCTTATTTTTCCTCATCAGATGGTTATCAATTTTTATAAATTCATATGATGTGATTTTCTGGAATTTTCTTTGGGATTCTGTCTCTCACTGTTAGAATGTACATATGATTAAAGTTATAGATCGTTGCATTCTTTGTAAGTGGGCAAACCTGCAAAATCAGCAAGGGGTCAAATACTTATTCCCCCCACTGTATCTGAGGAAAAAAGCGCTAATTTAATAGCATATTAAAACTAAAACAGAACAAAATCAGATTTAACGTTTTAGTTTTTTAAGCGTTCTGAAACGTGCAAATTTAGGATTTTGTTCCACTAAATTTTATTTCTGAAGGCTTGGATTGAAGGCTAAGCCTCACACTGGTTCAGTTAACTGGCCAAAGGAGTTTATGATGAAATCCTGAAGGTTTTAGTTACAAAAAAACACTGGAAACAACCGAACTGTGCTGTTCGTTTTCATGTTCCTGTGATGGAGTCCTTCTGCCCAGCAGGGATGGAGCTCAGGGAACAAAACTGAATCAAATCTGAATTAAATTAGCCTAAAAGAATCTAGTTTAATTGAACTGGGCTGGATAGAATTGAACTGGACTGAGTCAATGTATCTGTGTGGAGTTAGCATCTTCTGCCTGTATCTGTTAGCATTTTCTCCCTTTATCTGTTAGCATCTTCTGCCTGTATCTGTGTGGAGTTAGCATCTTTTGCCTGTATCTGTGTTGAGTTAGCATCTTTCACTGTCTCTGTTAGCATCTTCTGCCTGTATCTGTGTGCAGTTAGCATCTTCTCCCTGTATCTGTTAGCATCTTGTAAGTCAAAAACCTAATTGGCAATTAACCTTATTCTGATTCTGATCTGTGTGGAGTTAGCATCTTTTGCCTGTATCTGTGTGGAGTTAGCATCTTCTCCCTTTATCTGTTAGCATATTTTGCCTGTATCTTTGTAGAGTTAGCATCTTCTGCGTGTATCTGTGTGGAGTTAGCAGGTAGCTTAAGCTCTGATTTGCCCCTGTAGTGGGTGGTTGTGTGTGTGTGTGTGTGTGTGTGGGTGGGTGGTTGTGTGTGTGTGTGTGTGTGTGTGTGTGTGTGTGTGTGGGCGTGGGGGGGGGGTCCTTCCTTTGATGGACCCGACAGCTGTCCAGGGTTTACCCGGCTTACGCCCGGTGTCAGCTAGCTGTAGGACAGTGAATGAATGGACCTGTTAGCATCAAACCAAACTGGATTTAGTTCAACTTCTCACTGCTTTTCTTTAACTTCTGCACCTCCATAGAGACAAAGACTTCCTTTATTGTCTTTGCACAAAAACACGAGGTGAATTTGACAACGAAATGTCAATTACTTGGCTACCAGTGTAACAGATAAGACTTTATACCATGCACAATAAATATGTATTGTATTCTATTCTATAACTAAGCGCTAAGCGTAAAGAATTATATTTATACATATCAAACATCAATAAATACAGTGGGGGAAATAAGTATTTGACCCCTTGCTGATTTTGCCGGTTTGCCCACTTACAAAGAATGCTTATTTTTCCTCATCAGATGGTTATCAATTTTTATAAATTCATATGATGTGATTTTCTGGAATTTTCTTTGGGATTCTGTCTTTCACTGTTAGAATGTACATATGATTAAAGTTATAGATCGTTGCATTCTTTATAAGTGGGCAAACCTGCAAAATCAGCAAGGGGTCAAATACTTATTTCCCCCACTGTATGTATTTGATGTTTCGTTGCAAAAAAGTCAGTGCAATATATATATATATGTATAAATATAATTCTTTACGCTTAGCGCTTAGTTATAGAATACAATACGTATTTATTGTGCATGGTATAAGGTCTTAGCTGTTACACTGTACGTGTGTGTGTGTGTGTGTTTTGGGGGGGTTATGTGGCGTTAAATAGTCCGATAGCCAGGGGGAAGAAACTGTTTAGTAATCTGGTTGTTCTTCCCATTGGGGTTTGGACCTGGTTTGGGAACTGGACCCGGTCTGGTTCTGGTTCTGGTCCAGGACTTTGTCTAAAACTGGATTTAGCCGGATTAGCTTTCTGAGGAGCTCCTGACCCCCCCGGCCTCCCCGGTTATTAATAAGCCGAGTTGGCTGACATTGTCCCGGAGATTAGAGTGACTGAGCATAACTATGTGGGCAGATCAGAGAGGGGGGGGCATGGTGCCTTCACTGACTCACGTCTGCTAAGTAACTTTATACTCAAACGGACTTATTTGTTCGGTTTACTAGGGTTTAATTATGAAAAAGAAACCAGAAGTCATTGGTTTCCAGACTGAGTTCTTCCTCCTTCTCTTCATATTTGTGTTTTTAATGGAGGATCATTCTGGTTTACCGGAGTTTATTTATGAAAAAGAAACCAGAACTCATTGGTTTCCAGACTGAGTTCTTCCTCTTTTTCTTCATATTTGTGTTTTTAATGGAGGATCATTCTGGTTTACCGGAGTTTATTTATGAAAAAGAAACCAGAACTCATTGGTTTCCAGACTGAGTTCTTCCTCTTTTTCTTTATATTTGTGTTTTTAATGGTGGATATTTCTGGTCCCAGATCCTTTGTTTCCCCCCCCCCTCAGCTGCCTCTTTTTAGGCATCACTCTCCTCTCAACACATACTCTAATTCAGTCTTCTTTTAGGGGGGGGGGTTATTGTCATTTACATGACTGACTGTCCCAGCTGTGTGTGAGAGAGGAGGCTCCCTCTGGATGAGTCATAGATAGATAGATAGATAGATGGACAGATAGATAGATAGATGGACAGATAGATAGATAGATAGAACTCATAGATGGATAGATAGAACTCATAGATAGAACTCAGATAGATAGAACTCATAGATAGATAGAACTCATAGATAGATGGATAAATAGATAGAACTCATAGATAGATGGATAGATAGAACTCATAGATAGATGGATAAATAGATAGAACTCATAGATAGAATGAGGTAAAAAGTCTTAATTTTGCCGACAGTTTTATTCTCAGGTTTTCTTACTGCCAGCAGATGTCCTCCCAAACCAGCCGGACCGGGACGCTGATGAATGGAAATCAATCTAAAAGGGTCTTTAAATGCATCCAAAAAGGACCCGGTGGTTCTTAAATGAACTTCATCCAGCAGGAGTTTGTATTGAACATCTTTATATCTATTTAAATCTTTATTTTCAAACAAAACTCAACAGTACTTTTAGCTTTAGTCTCAAGAGGAAAGTCTGGTCCATACAGATTTATTTTACTGATTAAGTTTGACCAGTAAAGAAAACTCCTTTAATACCTCGACTGTTAGAGACTCTGAAATAACTTTTAGGAACACGAGAACTCCTGAAGTTACTTTAAACCAGAAACTTAAACCCCCTATAAAGATTTGGTGCTTTCTGAAACAAAAGTGATCTAAAACCTTGACTGACTCACAGCTATGGAGGCAGAATTAAAGCCTGGAAGGCCGAATTTATCCCTCATAGTTTCTGGGATCCGCTCAGAGAAAAACCATTTGAGTTACATTAAAGAGACTTTCTTCAGAGTCTACTTCAATTAACGCTCCTCTTAGTGAACAAAACATTTATTCATTCATTCAAACATGCATCACGCTGAGGTTTACCATTATTTTTTACCCATTTTAAAGCCAGATAAGTTTTGGTTGAACCCAAATTGACCTCACAATGCGTCAGGCTGGATATGAGTGCTGAATAAAATTTAAAAAAAAAGGAAAGAACCAAAAAAAAAAACCCCAAAACAAATAGATAACACAGATTAAAAACAGGAGCTTCCCCCTAGTTTTTTTTCCATTGTCGTGTGTGTGTGTGTGGGATAAATCTTTTATCCAAACAAAAACAACCCGAGCATCAGCAGAATCCCGGTGAGGTTTGTTAGAACAAAGCCGGACGGTTTGTGTGAGGCTGACCTTTTATTTTCAGGTTAAAGCGCTGAGTCGGTTAATCTCCTGTTAGCAACTCGCCCACATCAAACATGAAATATCCTCGTTTACACGGAGGGAAAAGCTGCACCAGCTCTCAGACCTGTTATTAGATTAGTGTCGTCAGGCACACATCGGGAAATAATGATAATATATTAAGTATAAATGGATGAAAGCATTACTGGTCTGTGGTGCCATGCAGTTTAAAAGGTGATAAAATGGTGGCGCTTTAAGTAAAAATCCCCATTTAGGAACCATCTGTATATTTGGATTTCAGCACTGAAACAGGAATATTATTGAAGTCATGCATCAAAAGCCAAGAAAGCAACGTTTTGGCATGAACATAAAAAGTTGGCATCTTAAAAAACATCCCTAATTAAGCAGGTAAGACAGAAAAAAAAAACTGTATAAAATGGTGCTCTGAAATGTATGGCTT